GTATAAGTGCAAAAGCCTGGAGAAGTTTGAAATTAAATATCTTGAATTGGACTCACAAATTCCCATTTCTCTTCCTTTAAAGTGAAAACATCAGTTTAAAAAAAAAAAGCTGAAATGCGTGTATATTCGCTATGACTGTTGTTTCCTTTGTAGTACTTGTGCAATCTGAGCCATTCCTGAAAATGAAAGCAGTGCTGACTTCATGCACAAGGATGCATTTCTAAGGCCACCAGATTTGATAAAACGAACTTAAAAATAAGGACAAAGAGCTGGATTTCAACAATTATCCACTTCCCCCCCCTTAACTGTAGTGTAGAGAGAGGGTGGGCAGCAAGTACCTCCCAGAATGCAGCCTTAGCTAGTACTTGTATTTATTTGCAAAGACAACCTTGAAGGGGATATATGCAATAATGTCATTGCTACTCTGCAGAAGCACACTTCTGTAACAATAGATGAAAAACACTTATGGCACAACTGTTGACTGATGGCTGGAAAGCTCCACATCCTCCTGCTCAGCCTAAAGTGTCAGCTGTTCTCCAGTGATCACGGCTGTGATAGATGAGCATTCTCTGGAGTGTTGAAACTGGTAACACCTATCACTTTTTGTCATCAAAGCACATTTGTTAATGGATCCAGTCAACTTGCCGTGTTTTTTTTAACACACCAGTTTTGTTTACAGTGTCACATATAGCCTGACACTTTGATACAGCCAGGGATGTCTGGTAACCAATTGCTTTTATTTGGGGATAAGGAGTTACTGGTCACCCAATTTGCTGTGCCAATATATGCATCTAGGTAAGCAGAGGTGTGCGACACAGGAACAGATACACCAACAAGGAAAGTGCCTTGATGCTGGATTGGATGGCTAGTGAATGGTGAATGTAAACGTTAAGTTAAATTTTACTATGTACTTTAAGTAAGTATGGCTGATTAAGCTAGTGGTAATTTGAATGCCAGCTTTAAAGGGCTTGCGTACTCCAGCCAGAGGTTAAACTTGTAAATTGCTGCATAAGCTGTCTCTGTATGGAAATGTGTTTTAATACTAGTTCACTGTCTTCATTCTTTTGCAAGCTGCATGCATATTGTCATATAAAATCTGCTTTTTACAATTTATTTTATGGTCAGTTTTGAGTGTCTTCTTCTTTGTTACCTGACTGAGCCTGAATATTGCATTTCTGTAGTACATAATACACAGAAAGAAAACAAAAAAAATTCCATACGTACCTTGTGTCCTGGAGTCAGTGTTTTGTGAGGCTTACTTAAATAGTAACCAAGAAAGGAGAAGAGTCTGGGTCACTACCTCATAGGCATGAGAGACATGACCATGAGATACCACGATAAAAGGCTGCCTTTGCACATGTGGGCATGTTCATCAGCAGGCGAATAGCCTTTAGTCCTGCCTTTGTAATTGCTCCTGGAAATAGAAGTATTGCTGTCTACCCCCACAGACTCATTTCCAAGAAAGGTGTGACAGAGATTGTCTGTGATATCTCTGTATGACATTGCTCTCAGTACTAAAAAAGCAGAGGTGGACCTTCAAAGGTTGGTCAACTTCCCAAAAGGCTTCAAGGTGGGGGCAGCTGGGGAAAGACAGCATCCCCTTCCTGGCTGAAACTCTCATTTGAACAGACTCGGACCTGTGTGACACTGAGGGAGCATGGGGATGGGGGTGTTATGTGTCACCAGAAATGATTGCTGCCACAGAAGAGCCAGCTGAGGCACATCATGTGCCTCAACGCTTTGGTGGTATTAGGCGCAAATAAAACACTAGACTCCTTTTCCAAAATGTTAGTTTAGAGCACAGTAGTTCACTTACCACTGTTTCACATAAGGCCCCTCAAGCTTCTACAGAGACATAGCATTTTTTGTGTGTCCTCCTCCCCTGCACTCAGCTGACTGAGCATTAGTGTGGTTGTGCTTCACAACTGCAGGACAAAGTGTGCACAGAAGAGGAGGCAGCAGCTGTGTCTTTTACAGACTTCTTCCTTGCTGCCAGACCAATACTGAAAACACACACTTGTGCAGTGTACACATTAGAATGCCAGAAGCAGCCCGGTTCCTGGAAACAGTTCTCCACTCTCCATGGCAGAGGTCAGCAGAGTCTGCTGCGGAGGAGCAGGGGATGTGCCTAACCCTGAGCTAGCCTTGGAGCAGCCTGGGTTTGTCCAGCCGGGATGGTCACTGAGAGCAACACAGCACAACAGCCTCAGGATGGTGCACAGGAGCCCTGCCAACCCACACTTACAGGGCGATGTGGTGGGAGGGTGGCTGGGGGATTACTGCTTCGTCCTGACCACTGACAATCACAGTAACATGGAATCTCTCTGCAAAAGCATCTTCTGTGCGTTTTCCAGACATTTGTGATGTTAGTGGCAAAGTGATCCAGTGCCTTTCTGACTTCCCAGCAGTCTCCATCTACCATGAAATAACTAGCAGAGCCAAAATATTCCTCCCACTCCCTACAAAATAGCTAGGAAACTCCTGGCGCAGCCAGGGAGGCTCTGAGCACTGATGACTCAACTGGGAGATGCAGGATGACTTTCAAAGCCAGTTAATCTGACTCCAGGCTCGCCTGGAAAATGAAAACATGCTGTGCACTGGGGTAGCAGGCATCACCCTGGTTTTCCTTTTACGATAACGCCTGAGTCACGCAGTGAGATTGGGCAGGAAGCTGGGTCAGGGGCCAGCAGAAGGTTTCAGTAAGGGGACAGCTCTGCAGGAGCCACCCACCCAGCTCCAGCAGCACTCAGCCAGTCCTCAGGTACCACCAGCACAGCCCATTACTGAGTGCGCAGTGACACGGGGCAGGTTCTGAGCACCAGAATCCCAAGTAAAGCTCCTCAGAGAATGCTCTTCAGGGCTGCAAGTGCCTGGAGCACTCATTACTGCCAGGATGCAGCCAAGCAGCAGACACAAGCCAGCATCATTAACTGGGGCCAGTGAGAGAGCACTGTGGTATTGGGACAGTGGACTGGAGTCTGGACTGGAGCCTGGGCATCTCCTGGGAACCAGGCACGCTACAGATCCACTGCTTTCAGGAGCACAGTGCGGCCCCAAGTCTGGCCTCTCAGGGCATTTCTGGGAGGTGGACCAGCTAGGCCCCAGCACTCCACAGCCTGTTCAAGCCTCCAGGACCATGCCAAGGGATGGCGGCAGCACATGTTTCTTGTAATAGTCAGACAGGCTGACTGCTCCAGTAACTGTGTTTTTTTTAATATTTATTTTCTGACAGTTTAGCAAGTCCCCTTGGCTATTCTTCTTCCTCTCCATTTGTCAGCAAAAGCTGTTATGTTCTTCCATCACCTGCATTCCTGAGTGGGATAATAAATCCCAGCCCAATGGGCAGGCTCAGCACCTGCCTGCTGCCAGGCAGGTCACAATTCTACAGCCCACTTGGCACACCATCCCCTTGGATGGGGCCACACAATAGCCAATCCACATGAAACAGGCCCAGATTACCATTTCCTTGTCCCCGTGGGCTGATGAATATGCTGGGGTTTGCTGACAGGAAGGCTGTTCTCATGCACGTCTACAGCTTGAATCACCGCCCTGCTCTGCCCAGATAAGTAATCACCACTGACCCATGCAATTGGCAAAAAGCATGGGACTCATGAAGACTATTTCTGGATCAGACCTGTGGCAGTAAAACTCTTCCTGCTTGAACAGACACAGCTTTTTCCTGTGTTTGGAGGAGATGCATCATTGGTGAAAGAACATGTGCCTGGCTACATGTGCACCAAAGAGCCATGGGGACCACCCCTCTGTGCACATTGCCTCTCTCCACCACCACTGCAGGACTCTGCTGTGGATGAGGCAAGGGTGCTGTTTTGGTACTAAGGCAAACTTCCTTAAATGGTGTCACTGTAATAATCTTTAAAGCACATTCTGGTCACACTTCATTATGGATTACATGAAGCTTCCCGTGTTCAGGCAGACACCTGAAGAGGCTGCCTCTTCCCTTCCCCACCTTGTTCTCCCAGACACAAGTACTTGCTGACAGCCCAGCACAAAAGCAGATGCCTCGAGAGCCTGCTCAGGACATGGCTCTTTCCGCATGTACCCATTATGCTCCATTTGCTGAATGTGTTTTTACTCCTCTGTTTGCTGGATATCTTCCTGAAACTATTAACGTTCCTGCATGTGTCAGAAAGCCTTTCCATTTTATTTAAATTAATTTCATTTAGATAGCTAATGCATCTGTAAATAAAAGCAAATTGAATCATTACATGAGTATCAGCCTTTAAAATTAGCCTAAATCCATCTCTTCACTGCTTTAACCACTGACTTTCTTTTTTCCCCTCTACATGGGCAATTGTAAAGGGTACGAAGAACACAGAGATATGACAGGTTACACACTATGGAAAATTTGCCTCTAAGAAGGCACTCACTTATATCAAAAAGCTTGACGAATTCCTGCTCAAAGAATTCGAAGTTCTGGGTAGTTAAACTCAGATTAAAAAAGACTGAACTTTTAATTTAATTAAAAATCTGTTAAGTTCAAAGCATGACCTATTAATAATTTATGGGACATAAGCCTTCAGGTCAGAAAGGAATTTCCAGTATGATACACAGAAGAATGACAATTCTGAAGATGCATCAATATATTATTCTTAAAATTACGGCACAGTCTGATCTCTATTAACCTTGCAAAGACCCATACACTGAAGAGTCATTTTCTATATTTTAAGGAGGGGTAAAAATGGGCATTTTCCAGATCAGTGATGGTGAGATGAAATGAAATTTAATAAAAAATGCTCTCTAGCAATAATAGCACCAGGTGTTGTATCAAAATATGTACAAAAAGTGCTAAAGTACTGTAATTTCCAACCAATTGCCACTTGGTATTATAGAAGTGGAATAATTGTTCAAATAGTCAAACTACTCAAGTACTATTGTAAATCCCTCTCAAAGTAGGAACAGATTTCTAAATGAACATGAAAATCTAAAATGTCTAAATGGTGTATTTAGTATAAATCAATAAAAAACTTTTCTGTGTTCTCTCAGTTTTATTTTTTAATGGGTCACAGCATTAGTTTGAAGGACAAATTGTAAAAGGACAGAAAGAGTACAATTCCCAACGCAAAACAAACCAAGTACAAGAAGTTGGCATTTCAAAGCATGTGCAAAATGCAGCCTTAATTTCTGGAATGTACTGAGCCCAGTTACTTGCATTTTGCTTTTTCAGAGAAAATAATGGGCAAGGAAAACAGAAAAATGAGGATAGAAAATCAGAATATCAATAGAGAAGGAAATAAAATGGGACAGAAAATCAGGTTATACTTAGCCTCCAAAAGCTAAGAGATGTTACAAATTGGATTATTTTTAATTTTTACCTGTCTCGATCTCAACACAGAGTATGCAGCTTTCATATGGTTGCTAAAACTTCCTAGACAGCTCTGAAATGTCTCTGCATCTGTTTATTTTTATATCTTGTGATATTAAAACAATACTGAGATTTAAGCGAAAAAAAATTCTGTGATTGAGTCAGTGAGTTCTGAACCTTAGGAACCAGCAATGTAGCTCTGAGTGAGAAGCGTGGAAGTCAGCCAAACAGCAGAAGCAGCACTGACCTAACCAAGGCTGTGTCCCACGCTAATTTCAGAGCATGACCTACCTAAGTGAGCAAAGGCTTATAAGGACAAACATACATGCAGTATGGCTTATAGCACTATAGTTGAGAAAGTGACCCAACAAACATGAGAGGTGGAAATCTGTGATGCTAAACAAGGAACATTTGCAGAAATTGTCTTCTCATCATTCCTTGAAAACTACAAACATCACTGTAAGTAAAAGCAACTTCCAAACTCTAGACAAAAATCCTGAATGCAAACTTTACCCTGTCTTCCACAACACAATGCAATAGTGCAATAGCCAATACATCCAGAGAAAGGCTCAGTCTTCTCATTCATGCTAGACAATATATTTTCCATTCTCCCACTTCTCTTCCTGCACAGAAAGGAAAGGCCTTCTATTTCTATTCACATCTGTTCCCTGTTTTTCTATCCCCATAACTCCTGTATCTTTTTTTTTATCCCAAACAAAGTCTGTAGTTATGTGCAAACAAGACTGATGACAACAAGCCTTTAAACACTGTAAAAATACTTTGAAGTATTAAAATGACCATATGTCACATGTGTCATAATGAAGACCAATTTACTTAGACTCTCCATCCTTTTCAACCTGTTATTTAACAGAGTAAATATTTCAGTAAGAATTTTACAGTAATGGCCTCTTTCCTGCCAAAAAAAAAAAATTAGTGTGATTGTTTCCTGCTTAATTGTCGCTTTATAAAATGGAAACCACAAGTAGTTTTACGATTTATCAAAATCATAAAACAAATTACAAAAGTTATAGCCTTCATGTAGAAATACCTAATCCTAAATCATCCACCAGAGGATATATGGCGATATTTTGTAGACTTAGTGTTTTTTTTCATAACTCTCAGAAAAATAACTTCCTAACTTAGTGCTTATTCCAACACAAGATGCCATACTTAGTTGTTTTTTTTTTTTAGTTGAAAATATCAGAGAAACAGATTTAAACTGCAAGAAATCAGAGGCAAAGGAATAAAAAGATAAGAAGTTATCCTTCAGTAAATAGTTTTTAAAATCAGGAAACAATTAGAAGAGACAAAAGCAGCACAAAATGCAGAGGATGACTAAAAACATGAGAGAAAGGAAAGGAGCTACATAGACAGCATAACTGTATCTTTTCTAAAATGCAGATAACATACAAATATACTCTCATTAAAGACAAAGAAAATATAAACCAAACCACTGATTCAAGAGTCAAGATACAAAACAACAACTACTGAAATCTACAAGGTATTTGTGATACAAAAGGAACACTATACATAAAACCATATATAAAACAATCAAGGAAAGTAAGAACAGGTCGGTAGTTTTATTTCATGTAACTGAAGTAAGGATTCGTCAGATTCTGGCTCTATTCAAGTCAGTCCATGTTTCCCCAGTAGAGCTGAGCCCTGGGAACTGGCCGCCTGGGGGAGAAATCAATGAGCTGTTTGCATTACTGGATCCTCTTGCAGCAAATACAAGTTTGTTTTAGCAGGCTGATTATGGGAGAACTAAGAAGAAATAACAAAAGTTATTTCTTTTGCCTCAGTACTGGCATGTCTGGTAAAAACCCACAAACAAAACAACCCCCTCTAAAACACCCAAAAACAAACCAAACCAAAAAACAAACCAAACCAAAAAAAAAACAAAAACAAAAACAAAAAAAACCCAAACCAAACAAACAAAAAAACAAACAAACAAAAAACCAACCAACCAACCAACCAACCAAAAAAAAAACAACCAAAAGTGAACCCTGACATGTATAAACACGGTGCAAAGAATAACTTCACAGCTGTTTGAAGGAAGAGGGTGTTTCCATCCAAATTAACTGAGACCAGAGAGGTTAAAACATAGGAATGCACATGAGCAGCAGTGCCAAGAGTTTTTTCACAGGGCGACTTTACAACGGAAAATCTTCCCACGCTACTGAGCAGTGGCCGGCTCGAACATGTCCAGTGTTATGTAGGGTTGTCCTGCAACATTTTGTTGAAAAGGAGGTAAGACACTTGACTGGCTTTTGCATTCATCCATACTGTGCTCTGGCAAGCTCTCAGAAATAAGAAATTCCCTTGTTTTAACAGAATTTTTAAGGTATGGATTGAACAGTGTTTTTTCATTGAAATCTTCCACCTTTAAAACTTCATCATCATTTTCTTCATTTTTGATTGAATTCTGTTGGGATCCACACAAATCATTTGCCAGCATTTCCATGGGTTGGATTTCCTTCACTAGTGTCAAAGTTGACTTCATTTGGCTTCTGGTAAATTGATCAGTGATCACATAAGGCATGGATGGCAAAAAACATTTAGCAACATCATTTTCTTGTTTATGCAGTATCTTTTTATCTCCACTGATCATGTCTTCTGCATTAATATCAGTACATTCAGAAACATGGTTTTCTTCAGGAAAACAATGTTCCAAAACACTTATGTCTTCAAAGTCTACAGTTTTAGCCTCAGATGCCAACTTCTTCAAAAGTGAATTATTCTGTCAGTACCAAGAGATAAATTGGAGAGTTATATACAGATAGATAACATATTAGTTTGTTTTTTAAAAGATAAATTATTGCCATTTGAGCTCTATTTGACTCATAATTTTAGAAGGGCACTAATAAAGAGTTCATGTGCATTTCAGCAGGGATGTAGTTATATGTGAATGAGTACTAAAAATGACAATGTTATTCTGTTCATTTGTTAAACAGTTTCATAGTAGGTCTTCTGTGCTTAATGAAACAAGAAGTTTCCATGAAAGCTCAGAATCAGGTTTGGACTGTGTCCATCTTTTCTACTCTAACCAGTCACTTATGGGGAAAAAACTTTAAATCTCATTCTCCACAGATTACACTTCCTACGTAAAACTGATCAACTCCACTTCATTCAAATACACATCAAAACTTTAATAAGGCATAAATATTCAACAAATATTCAAAATATTCAAAAAGACAGAAATATTAGTACAATAATATGCCAAATCTTACTACATGTGGCAATACATTTTTATGGAGAATGGAGGACTTATCCAAATGTGGGAACCTGATTCAGTAGATGCAAAAACCTGTGTAAATTGAATTGACTATATTAAATCAACCATGTCTGCCAACCACTCAGGAACTTCAAAACATTATTTCTCGTTATCATATGAGAATTAAAAGAATATACTTTATGAAGATGCATGTTCTCTGTTATGAAGAGTATTTTTTAGCACTTAAAAATAAGAATGAAACTCTATATACTTTTTTTAAAAGTTATAAAATTACTGTCAGAGAAGGACTTCTTTTCTCTCCATTTGATCCCTTCTTTAATACATAAGATTGCAATTATTACCATAGATGCAGCAAGAGGCCATTCCACTGCAATGCTCTCTGCAGGATTTGGTATATCAGGCCAGCAAACCTTCTTAAACCTATCATTGAGACAGTAATTTTAGTCAAATTATGACAGAAATAGATTATTAAAAATAAAATTAACAAACCTCCGGAAAGTTCACATATTGCTAAAATACCAAATTTTCACAAAGGAGGTCTTTTCTATATTAACACAGCCTTTTTTCAATGAAATTGTTTTCCCATACACATATTTTCTATGTATATACTTATGTATATTTTTTTTATGTTTCTTATAATATACTATATTATAATATATGAAATAATAGCATGTCAAAATAAGGTTGTATACAAAATCTGTTGTGATCATGTTTCAGGGTGTTTCTTCAGTGAAAGCCACTTCAGGTAAACTTGGCCCGAGGAAAGTATCCCAAGCACTACACCACACTAGAGCTAAGCTGGGTTCCAATGTTAGCAGCAGATAAATGATGCTCACTCATTGAATCACTCATTGATACTGGGTATATATGTAAGGGAATGAAAAACAGTCCAAAGCTTGACTTTTCACATTGTAATTTGATTACACAAGAATATAAACACTCAACTGCATCTCGAATATTGTCCAGAACCAAAATATAGTTTCTTATTATTGCAAAAATACAGAATCCACAACACAGAAGAAGATGTAAAAGAGCTGGAAATTACACTTATTTATTCAGCCATACTTATCACCTGATGCTTTGCTAGACAACCATATTAGTTCTAACAGTTTAGAACACCCCAAAACAGTTAAGATTTTTAACCTTCTCATTAAGCTTCAGCCAAACAACCCAGTCACTTTCATGTGAAAGAAAAACCTATTTTATAACCTCAAAAAAACCCTCAGATTCATCGTTGCAATGTTATTACATCCCCATGCTCTGAGAAAGCAATTTCAAATCTGGCAGGGGACACCTGTGACAGCAGATTATGAATCACATGTGGATACAGATCCATACTCATGGATCAAGCATCCAAATGCTTTCACACAAAGCATGACTTTTTTACAGCTCAAGGGAAGCATCACGAAGTAACAAAAGCAATATTATTATAGCTAAGATAAGCAATTATATGAAATATGTTCTAGTGCTGTACTAGCAGATATATTTCCTACATGCCTAGGAAACTTTATTCTTGGCATTATTAATTTTTCAGTAACTGACTTTAGGTATGCTCCCTTCAACTGACTGACAACAGAACTGCAAATGGCATATAGTATTTTCCACAGAATTATATAGGTGACACATAAATCTGTTTCTCCTATTTATTTTGTTCTAATTTACTGAACTTTCTAAAATTAGTACTTGTTTTTGGACTAGAGCACATAAACTGCAGTTAACATATAACCTATATGCTTATTTATTTGCTACTCTAATTGCTTATTTTCTTAATTTGACATTGGTTTTGAGCCAAACAAAAGCATTTGTAAGATATATAAAAATTTGCCTTTTCCAAGGTAAAATTAACAGGTTGAATTTGGTTTTAGACAGTAGCAAATGTACTTATGCATGTTATATAAAAATTTGCCTTTTCCAAGGTAAAATTAACAGGCTGAATTTGGTTTTAGACAGTAGAAAATGTACTTACACATGTTTTTTCAAAATGCATGTTACCCAAAGGCCTAACAGACAGAACACGCTTATTCCAACAAGCACAGCAATTAAAATAACATCTTCTTTATCTTTAGAGGAAAAAACACACAAACAAAAAAAAAAACAAAACAACAATCAGCCCACAGATGTCTGTCATTTCTTCATGTATTCCTTGAAGACAGTTAATTTTCAACATCCAAGTCACCTAATTAGCACATTTCTAAAGAGCCAAAATTACTCAGAATACTGTATGGTGTGCATTGTATGATGTGTCAAAAGATGAGTATTTTGAATCCAACAAGCCATAGTTACTCAGCCAGAAAACCAGATCACAATGAGACTTCTCAGGATTTCTCAGGAACACATGTATTGTATTTTAAAATTTCCTTTATTTAATAGAATTGGACAGTAATTTAGATGGGAGGGGACATCTGTAGGTCACCTCATCCAACTTTAAAATTAGAGTCAAACTGCCTAGGACCATACAAAGCCAACTTTTGAAAGCAACCTAAGATGAAGACTCTACCACTGCTTTGGGCACCTGTTCTTTTACAGTCACCTCACACTGACACATAGTGCCACTTCTATCAGTTACAATAAAATAAACAGCAAGTTAAGTGCAGGAGATAGATTTTAAATCACAAAAAATACAGTTATTCTGACTGAAACACTGCACAGATTTCTGAGATAGCTTCCAAGTACTAGAGGCAGGTACTGACAGCAGGAGACCTGACCTCAGCACAGTCTAACATACCTTGTATTTGACTAGCAATCAGCAGAATAATTTACAGGCAAAAAATGAATTAGCTTTGAGTCCCATGACAAGTTTAGGAATAGCTCATGCACTTTTCTAAATTTCAGTTTGGCCACCACTATGACATTTTAGGAATGTACTGAAAACATTGTTCCAGAAGCTGAAATGGGGAAATGTCTGAACTTCTGCCATCATACCAATCTCCTTGGTAATATCTGGCTAGAACAAATAGCAAGAAATAGGAAAAGGTATTTCCCCACACATACTGGCCATAACCTGTGCACTCATTTATCAGTTAAGCTTATATACCAGAAAAGATAAAATACAATGCCTGGTTATTCTAAACCTAATACCTCAGATGGAAAAGTCTACTTTTTAATAAACTCTTAGGCATTCCATCCCATAATTGACAGCAAACAAACTGCTGCTTCCACAAACATCCATAGCACTCCACAGCATTACTGACAACTGGGTTTGACTTCTAATCTTGAGCTTTTAATCTGTGAGATGGTCAGTGAAACTGTGTTAAATTCAGCTACTGCTGGCAATTCTTCCTTGTTTTGTTCAACAGTCCTTTAAAATAAAAAGTTGACAAATGCCTAAACAACGTCCCAAATTCTGTATTCCTTACTCCCAAACCCATTTTTAAAATAGTAGTAACTAATCTGGAATATTACTTACCCAGTTTCAAAGTTTTGAAGGTCTTTGGCTCTCCGGTGGTTCCACCAGCTTCATTGCTTGCCATGATATAGACAGTATACTGTGTATTAGCCTGTAAGGACTTCAGTCTGTATTTTCGATCATTAGAGTTCACTGTTTCATCTTTTTAGGAGATTTATGTCAATAAACACACAAAAATAGTGTTATATCAGGGAACTGTACAATTATTTAGCAACATTTACAATAACAGATCATAAAGTATTTTAAAGACAATTTGAAATACAAAGTGATCTTATTAATCCTTTTATGGAGAAAACTTAAATTACTAAAAAATGTTTATCAATACTACTTAAAATTTAAAGTAAATACACAAACCATTATGTATTTATTTTTCAAAATTAAATACAAATATTTTTTCTAATATTAAAGACAGGTGAATTATGATCTCCTGTAGTTTATTTTATCACTGAAAACAGTTTTTGAGAACTTTATTTCCTTAAACTAGTTGGCTCAGAAATTAGGAACTTAAAATAGTTTCTGTAGCTTGTGAAGTTTACCTATATTTCTAGTACATGCAGTTAGGCACTGATCATCCAAAAAGATGCAATCTATCAGCACTGGGATTTCACCCCAGTTATGGCAAAGGAAAGCCAAAATCAACAGGAATTTTTTTCCAAGTGTAATGGTTTTAAGTATTAGGCCTTCCTTCCTGGTTGCCAGGAAGGAAGGAAGTATTCCATCCTATTCCTTTATGTAACCCAAACACATAAATAGATGGAGAGAGAAGCCTCTTCCTCTCTTTCCTTCTGGCAAGGTTTGGAGACAGCAGATTCCCCGCAGCCAGTCTTGCTCCTGTGGGGGAGCTGAGGCCTGGCCGGGCCTACAGGGCCTGTTGTTTCTGCCGATCCGGGAGCTGGTAGCGTGGCGGCGGCGTTTGGGCGATTGTGCTATCTCAAGGAAAGTAGCAAGATATTCTTTTGCTAATTCTTTATTTTGCTAGATCCTGAGTTTTTGATTGTGTATACCTATTTTGGTTTTCTCCTTTTTGTCCCTTTCCCTTTTCCTTTTGGAATTGTATATAGTATTTCAACTGTATTTAACTGTAATATACATAAATACATTTATTTTAGTATAGTTCGGCTAGTCTGGATTTTTTCACAGTTTTTTTTTCTTTCCTCTTTGCCAGAGGGTTTTGTGCTAGGTCTGGGGACTTGGCGGGGAGCCAAATAAAACTTAGACACCAAGTTTCAAAATGCTTTTATGAATAGAACTCAATGTTTCCAATACCTTGTCCAATACTGAAATTAGTATATTATGTGCTTCACCTTTAAATTTTTTTTAAGCAGGGCATATATTCTACCATCCTATGTCTACTAACAGTACCGAAAGCATCTTCCTACTATGAAATTACAGTTGCTAAAACATTTTCTGGTGCATAAAGTCTAAGTCATCTCATGTCATTATTCAGCTCAGTCAAGTAATACTCAGGAAACAGTTATGCTGCAATACGCCCAGAGTTAAACTGAGTTTCTCTTAAATCAAGGAGGGAAAAGTGAAGTTCTAGAGTTAAAGGCCACCCGTGAAGTTACATTGGCACACACCCCATGTTCTATTCTCATCAAGAAGATGTGACATCAGAGAAGCCTCAAAAAACATCAGTACAGTAAGTTTCAGAACGGTATGTTTCTGTCATTTAAATTTAACTCCCCTGACTTCATATTTAGAACTAATTTTCTAAAGAAAATAATCTGTACCCCTAAAATGGACACAGCCTGCTTTACATTAGAAGTAATATGGACATGTATTGCTCTGTAACATGAGGCTGCATGTCACAAGGATGACCCCGCACAAAGCAGTCAGCATTAAATTACTCAGAAACCAACATGGCATGAAAATAGCATGTAGAGGACTGACTCTGAAAGAAATAATTAGCTTTCTCTTTCAATTTAAAAATTACCAAGAATACTCATGCCCTGGTTGTAAACTGGATATCCAGAAGAAACAGAAGACATCACAAGATTTGAAAGTTTGAGAACTTTTCAAAAGAGATTGTGTTAGGTGCCTGTTAACAGTGATGTCTCATAAAATAGCAGGAAAAAAAACATTTCTGAAGCACTGAATGTTCCAACAGCATTCTTCATAAATTGTACAGGAACAGAAATTTAGGCTACCAAAACCCTTTTCATAAAATCTGCTGAGATTTAAACTAAAGAAGCTCTGAACAGACAGCATTACACTGTCAGATCGTATGGATACTGTTCCTGAGGTAGAGATTAGGAATATGCTCAAAGTTATGCTATCAGCCTCCAGACCAGAAAAGCAATACCAAGTACAGAAAATCAAGCATCTGAAGAAACTGATCTAAAAACTATGCCCAGAGAAACTATTTCTTGGCAGCTTAATTTAGCTTCTCAACTGTTATTTCCTAATTTGCTTTTAATAGAAAATTGACTGTAAAAACATTTTTAACAGAAAATTTCCACCATAGTGTTCCAGAAGCTGAAGGGTTCCAGAAGCTGAAGGCATGTCCTTCCAAAGATGTGAATGGAATTTATAAATCCGCTGAACCCTCGTGATCCATGAACTTGCAAAAGACCTATGACTCTCCAATATATTTTAGCTCCTCTACTCCTGTCATTAATTTTTAGATTGAGTTCAAAGGTGTGTCATGATGGAAGACAGACAAAAAAGGGAGAAACACTAGTACATACGTAAAATGGTAAAACAGCAAGTATCTGACAAGCAATACTCATTACTTTGGCATAATCTGGCAAATTTCTTTTTTTTTTTTTAACTGTTAATGGCAAACAATCTGCAAAATGTTCCTCATATGTCAGTTTTCATCCTGGTCTGGAAAGGGAAGAGGAATAATAGTGCTGCCATACACTGACTAAGTTTATCACCTAGATCCCTCAGATTTACATCTGAGAAGCAGAAGGACAATGCAGTCAACAGTCAAGACTGTATTACCATGGGTAGTACAACACTACTAGTAAACTGAGAGTAAGCAGTGCTGTACAAAATAAGTTCAGAAAAAAGAAACTGAGAAAAAGGACACGTATTGCATTAAAGTACTAAAGTAGGGACTATTTGCTAGAATACCACATCATTTCCATTGAAACTAAACATTTTTTTAATCTGTACATAAGCCACATTTTAGAACCAGTATTTTCAGACATATTTACATATTATATACAATATGATACACAATAACAAAGCTTGCTAGTAACTATGGCAATAACTATCTGCAGACAGCATATTGTCATAATTCTGTTGAAAACATCACTGTTTAGTGTATACTTACTCAATTCTTTTCCATCTTCAGGTTTATAAAATATTGTATAGTTAGTGATAAATCCATTTCTTTTATCCTTTGAAATCTCATTCCATTGTATTGTAACTTCATTTTTTCCTGGAATGCCTGTCTCAGCCACAGGTCCTTCTGATGGTTCTACACAGAAGCATCAGAAAATAAAGTACTAAAAGTCAATACTCCACAATGTTATCCATCTGTGTTACTTCACACATACCAGTAAAATTAGGAGCAACAAATGCACAAGAAAATATGTAATCTCAGTGCTCTGACGTAGTCCTTAACTTTTCTCACTCTCTTTATATGGGATTTCTTCTGATAAAACTTCCCCTCATTTATTCTGGTGTTAGCATAGTTCTAAGTGCTACTGCCTTTCCTCACAGGATCAGAGACAGATCAAGAGGTAAAGCAACGCTACATACTCATGGGGGAACTCAGATGCAAGGTCACTGTGTGTGCAGGACGTCTCAGGCTGAGCTGAGATTTAACTGGTGTCTCCAGCACACCCAGTCTTGCACATTACATTAGACAAAGCCTTCCTACTTACACAATACCACCTCACACGCATTGCTCATAACTTCTCAGGAAGAGTTCCCTGCATTTCAGCTTTAAAACAAATAACTTGCTTCCCATTCTCTGACAACCTTGAGTGCTGTCATAGCTACCTATAAACAGGAAAGCATTCGACACACAGCTCTAATTGTGCTAGTAAGTATTACTCAAACATAAAATATTCCACTACCTCTTCCCAGTAATTAATGCTGTTTAGTAGAGCATTGTCCTATATATGCACACACACAAATCAACATTTTCACATGAAATCTTAAAATTACCAGTAAACTACATTCTTACAGCTGTGTGTATAAATCACTAAATTCACATTAAACTTCTACAAATAAAGAAACATTCCTCCTCTTCCCTCTCCTCAACACTATTTCATCTACAGTTTCTATCTAACTACAAATGTCACGGCTTCTTATTATTTTTTATGTGCAGGACTGCAAATATTTTGTTACATTATAAAATTTAACAAAAAGCAAGCTTTTCAAACCATTCATTTTATTCTGTTAGTAGAATTTCATCATATATTAGGACTTACAAATGCAGTCAAGCACTAAAATCAAGCATATATCTTAATGAACTGTAACATTGAAGAGATAACTAGTTTTAAAAAATCCTTTCATGCTTGTAGCTATACACGTTCCAAGTGCTTTGTGTAAAGTATGTAAACTTTACCAAAAATTAGTGGACTGAAGCAGCAATATCCCAGTATCACAAGATGCATGTTTTCTTACTGAACAATTTTGTCGCTGAACAAAACAGAAATCAAGAGGCCTGAAACCTTGGGATTTTTCCACTTTCTCCATCTCTCTTTCAAATAATGATAGTACTAAATTGATCAAAGACAATACATCCTGACAGACAGACTACAATATATCTTTCACAACATTATTAGTTTAAAATACATACTTTTTTGTTGAACATAAGTTTGTACGGTATATGGAGCTGCTACTTTATTTCCATAAAGAGGATACACTGAGATGTTATAGCATACAAATGGTTTAAAGTTTTCTGTAAAGGAAAAAAAGGAATATTTACATACAATTCTCTGTGTGAGATTAATACAATGAAAATAGACTAAATCCCAAACAAGTTCTAAATATAGTGTTACAGATTATTTCCTTCAACTCTTTAGCAAGCACAACATGTATTTATTGTCTTGAATGCTCATTACTGCCCTTAACACACTTTTTTGCTAGTAGTATTCATAAGAGCACGTGGTTTCTGACTCATTTTTCACTAGAAATACTTTGAATGGGTCATTAGACTTCAGCCTTATATGACTTCTCCATATGAACCCACTTACTCATCTCGAAAGAGTTTATGGTTTTGGAGGAAGTTTCTATTTTCAAATAACCAGTAAAAAATTGCACTTACAGTAATAGTTTTAATTTCACATATCTTTATGTTTACTGCTCTGCAAAAGACAGTTTCTCATGCATCAAATAGTTTAAAAGGTACAGTGGAACCCCACCTCTTAATGCTTAGAACCTGAGGGAACAGCATGAAGTTGTGTCAGGGATATTAGGAGAAGGTTTTTCACCCTGAGGGTGGTTGAGAACTGTAACAGGCTCTCCAGAGCAGTGGTCACCACCCAAATCCAAATGTATAAGGAAAATTACATGCATTATATTAACTAATGGTAATGGACATGGGATATTCACATTGACATCAACATTCACAACTTTGCCTTTTGCACACATCTCTTGAGCTCTGTAAGCTTTTTGGTTTTTCATTGAAACTACATAGGCATAGCCAAAACATTAGCAGTTACAGAGATTATCTGTTTTTAAAACATCAGCCTCTAGGAAAAAGACTAAGATCCTTCTCTATTTGTCAGTGCTTCATAAGGTCACTGAAAACCCTTAAAAATGCCTTAGATCATAATACAAATGTGGTTATATAACATCTAACATGCCAGATTGATCAATCACTCCACTTGCTTATTTCAAAGTAGAATTCTCACTCAAATCCTCCTTCAGGTTTCTTGCTCTCTTCTAAAACACATGAACTATCATGATCTTTTCCCATATTTAAATTAATCTTTTTTGTTGTAGATTTCTCTGCTAAAATAGTGTATATCTGCCTCCCTAATGGATTAAGATGAAGCCACGGAAGTGCTTCAACACAAAATCTGAAGCCTAATCTTACATGGGAGCAAAAACCACCTTTCATGTTGCATGAAAATTTGAAAGAGTTAAAATTGCTATTAAATTACTTGCAGAGATTTCAATAAAGCATGTAATAACACTGCTATGTTTAAAACGGTCTGAGGAAAGCTGGATGAGTTCATCCTTGTTTGTTCTTTCCAGTCTACCTATAAATACATACATATCTGTACATTATTACAGCTGTAGCCGATAAATAAACGTACTTTTGTTAGTTTTCCAGTTTGTAGAATTCGACACATATTGCCACGATCTACTAAAAGGATCCATCTCCAAGTCCTCAAACCACTCAACTACATATTCTGTTGCTTCTGGTTTAGAGACTGCCCATTCCACAACCACTTCTTCATTTGATGGTAAGGTCCTCGCTGTTCCAGTAATCTGAGCAGCTAAAAATTTAACAGATAATATCAGCAATTCTATTTTCATAAAAACTTCAAAAATACATAGAGAATCCAAAGACAAGTCTCTCTTTTAGAATCTGAATTTTACAGTTTGTAAAATTTTGCAAACCAATTTACTATCAATCTTGCAGTTTGTGCAGATAAGCAAGTTTTGATTGAGATGACAAAGGCAACAGAAGAACAGTAAAATAAGTCAGCAAGGTCACGAGTGACAGTGAAGCAAAAGTGCACCATCAGCCTGCAGAACAGATGTAATAAAAGTCTGACTAAAACACCACCTGGCAAAGCAGAGGCAAAAAAGACCTGATGAAGCAGAGGAAAAAACAGATGCCTCTAGGGGTGGGGAGGGGAAAGCATGTCACAGCATGGAAAAATCAGAAAAACATTTATGGTGGGATACAGAAGTGAGCAGAGAGGTAGTCAGAAACCTCCAGGGCAAGATAACAGCACATCTACACATCCAGTTTTTTTATTAGAAATGGAATATGATTGAGCAGTTTCAGGGGGACACTTGCACTTATTTCATGAACAACTGATACAGGAATTATTCAAGTGTTTCAAATGTAGACTCTCTTCTAGATTATGGTAGGCAGCAGGATGCTGGAATACAAGGCTCACAGAGGTATCAGAATTAAACATAAGAGCCAAAGAGCTCAGCTGTTGTGCTAGAGCAGACCAACTTCCTGACCCTGGCAGTGGGTGGGATGAGGTACTTCGGGAATGCGCACGAAACGAGAATAAAGGCTTCTCTCTCTGCTTCCACTGACACATCTTAGAGATTTCTATTTAAGGCATCTTTGAATGATGCTGTTTAATGCTCTGCAATATTGTCCTGCGGTAACCAATTTTATGATCTAGCAAAGGGATGTGACAGAATTGGGTAGCACTCTATAAATTTATTTGGGAGGTACAAGGTTAGAAAAAAACCACAAACCAAACCAAAAAACCCTCAGAAAATAATACAATGGAAATAATATAGAAATAAACATCAGAAAGTATTCATATCTTAACAACTGTATCTCAAAATAAAATCCCTAACAATAATCATCTATAACAGATGCATGACAGCAAAACACAACAACAAGATATAGATATAGATATAGGTATGGATATAAAGATGTATGATAGAAGTCCTTAACACAATTTTGCTTCCACTACAGCAAAACTTAAACAGATGTCATGAAGATAATTTTTTTGTTAATGAGAAAAATATGGCATTGAGAAATCTTACTTTTTTCGTCTGTGGATGGAATCCTCAAAATAGCTTCAGGAGAATTTCCAGCAGAGTTATAGGCAGTAACAGATACTATATATGCCTCTTCATTTAAAAGTAAAGTGATTTTCTTGTCAGTAGAGTTGTTTATCATTTTAAGTGCAGTCTTGTTTTCTGGAAAATACTGTATTTTGTAGCCTAGAATTCTCCCAGAAGGTGGAAAGCTATTTAATGGCTATTAAAAAAAATAAGTAGTAGTAAGTGTTTCATAGTGTTATTTGCATAACCAAAAATATATGTTGCATTGAAGAGTCCAGATCAAATTACAAAATGATTATACCATATTTAGAAAAGCAAGGCACTTTCTTCAGTCCCATTTTCAGGACAGAGAGCCATAACAATTTCCTTGAAGGAAAGGTTCAAAAGTCCTGAGATTTGAAACGCAAAAAGTCTTTGGACACTTTACTAGAAGATTAAAGTGAATTTAACATAGTTTTGATAAGCCATATTATTTAAAAGTAGTTGTAAAGACTTTCAATCAGATTCTCCAGTGATCTGAACACAATTTAATGCTTCCTTTCCAAAGACATTACAAAACTCTATTCATCTACCATTTAGTAAACAAAAGCCTTTTTAATTCTGCTTTAGTTCAGTGAGGTTTTTTCTGATGACAGTAAACGCCCCTGGCAGTTACATGTCCTACAACACTAAAATACTTAAACACAACATCAGTTACAGGATACCAATATGATTATCAATTCACATAAAGAGTATAAAAAACAGTATATACCTTCCACATGAGATGTACAGACCTACTTCCGGGTGAGTGTGAAGACTCAATTACCCTCCACAAATCCACTTTTTCTGAAGGAGCTATATAAGGACAAAAAATAACTTGAATATCTGTGCTATATTAAAAAGACAGTCCAATATGGTAAAACAAACAAAAGGTTTCAAACATACAGACTGAGAGAAAGTTAATAAAAATAAGTTTTCTCTTGTGTAATGCTGTGCCTTTTTTCCCCTAGTAAGTACAGCTTCTCTCTTTCCATAAGTTTCCTTCTGCTTTCTTTTATAGTTAAGTATCAGAGTCTCCTAGAGGAGATTTTGTAGTCTTGTTTTATAACTGGACATTTAGTGTCTCTACTTATGATTAATTTTATTGAACATACTTGCTATGCTACATTTCTGCTACTATCCTATTTTGCAATGTTCAATCTCCATCTGCACTCCTAATTTTCCCTCTCTTCACTGTCTACTCACCCATTTTCTTCCTTAGCCTATATTCTTTGAATCACTTTTCAAATCTCCTCCACTGCTTGCTCTTGTGCTTTAGTTTTCCTCTTCTATCTTTAAACAAAATACACGTTCTGTTTAAGCAACAGAATTCTAAATGCAACAGACAATAGACTGAAAACACAGTTTATTAAATCCTAATGCCTCGAGGTATAACTAAAGAAAACTTTTACAGGTAGTCAGCCCACCTTTCTCTTTCGTGCTTCCACTTTTCTCTCCACTCCATTCACTCCAAAATATTGATTCATTACTGATACACCGAACAGCAACAGAATATTCTGTGGAGTCCCACAGACCTGTGAGATTACATGATCCTGTTTTCTCTGCAGAATTCAGTGGGACAGTGACATATTTCTGAAAGTAGGTACATGAACAAAATTATTTGATAGAAAATTGTGTGCAGATATTTGACTTATTAAAAAAATGAAACAAAAATAACACAAAAGACGCAATTTTAATGTTTCCCACCTCACCCCTTGGAGACTCAAGACTGTATTTCATTTTTCTGTGTAGCCTCCTCATTCTTCCGATAAAACCTCAGGGTTTCAAAAACTTGAGCCAAAACTAGATCTGTACTGGCTGTCCTGTGGCTTGAATTGTGTACAGCTCACACAGGATTCTAGAGCAGTTGTGCTGGCACAGGAGGGGCTGGATGAATGCAGTTCCCACTGATGGGAAGCAGCTGGTTATTGCAAAGCTATTATCACAACAATATCCCACAACGGCATGCTGGGGGAAGCATTTTGTGAGCCACCTGGGTACTTCTTTCCTTTCTTGTTTTTCTTTTCTGAGTTACAAGGTCTTCTAGCTCTTAGCCATACAATAGTGCGGCTGTGAGCCGTTCCAAAGATTATCAGCAAAGGATTAAAATGAGAAGACAAATAAAATACAAAAAAGTTTGATACCAAGAGGAAAGGAAAAAGAAGATGGAGCCTTCAAGTGGTGAAGGAAGACAAGAGCATGATAAATCACTGATACACTATATTTTTGGAAAAGTAATGACAAGGTGAGTAATCTCTTTGTCTTAAAAGGAGCTCCACTCACTTCTCACTGATGGAAGTCAGAATCTAGATTACTCTTCCAAAACAAATAAAATAGATATGAAGACCAGGAACTGGAGTTGATGCACCAACTCAAGTGGACTGACAACATGAAGCAGAAAAAAACAACAGGAACTGTAGAAAGATAAGTGTTTGTGAACAGAAGAACTGATATAATCACTATACCAACATTAATGTATTATCTTCCAAATTGCAAAAATTACTCAATAATTAACGACTCTTCCCCTCTTAAATTTCAGATTACTGAAACAGCAAGACACCAAAATAAATGTTCAAGCTAGCTAAATTCTAACAACATCAGCAAAGGCAAGTTTTTGAATAAGGAAGATTCCTTCTTGGGAGTTGAACTGAAGTAGTAAAGTCACATAGATTCTCAGTAGGACTAAAAAACTGTGAAGAAATTCTTGTCTTCTACCACCTGAACCTTCCAATAAAAAGTGAATCAAACTATAACAATATAAAATGCAGACACCCACTCCTATAAACACCATAGTGGGAAATGCACTGTCTAATGAAATTTTTAGTCCATTCTGATCCCAAGAAACTCATTGTCAAAAAAAGAAAACTGCTTCTATGAGAATGAATTCAGGGACCTACAAAGCACTCTATGTGACAGACTCTTTATTGAACCTACAGCAAAAAGGGCTTCAAAACTATTATCAGCCTCCTGCAGAACCTGACATAGAACTGGAGACACCACAGACTAGCTTTTAGTTACTTGCCAAATGGCTGTTAACAATATTTCATCATAATCAGAAACTTAGTAGAAACTCGGTATATGCAGATAGAAAAACAGGTAACCTGTTTTCACTCAGTAAAAACAGTTCACACCAAACTGTTTAGACTGGTTTTTTGGACAGCTTAAGAGGCTCAAATATTCTTTTTGTTCGTTTGTTTGGGATTTTTTTTTTTGCACATATGTGCTGACAGAAAAGCACCTTCTATGTCTTTACTGATCACGGATAGCTACTGTTTTTTCTCTAGATTATCTCTGGGAAAATGCAGGTAAGATGTGAGGAAGCAAATGGATGTAGACTGTATTCAATGCTGGAAAAGCAGAAAGGTGATTTCTAATGCAGGTGCTGAAAAACAGACACAATACACAATAAAGCTGTAACTTTACAAAAATGTGAATGTTTTCAACACTGGGGAAGGACCCCACAGCAAGCAAGCATCACAAGGACACCAGTGCCCTGACTCCAAAGGGATAAACATCTTGAACAGGTAGGTCTTTTTAATAGCTATTAGTTCCATTTCTAATATCCCAAGTGGATTTGAGCTATTCTGCCCATCCAATCATCCCAAATATTATATCTTGAATCCAAAAGTCAGTATGTCATATCTACAGTAAAGATGCTTGCCATGACAATGTGAAAAGAATGCTAATTAGAAACATCTTCAGTATTAGGAACTTCTTGAAAGCTCTGAAGACTACCTTGATGAATTCTTCTCTCACAAAATTACACATATAATGTATGAAACAGTAAGATCAAGGCAGACAGCTAAGTCCAATGAACTCAGAAAAGTCAGCCAAGGAACCTGTACCATTCTGGAATTTGACAGAGGAAACAGTAAACTACAAACAGAATCCCTTCCATACTGAAGAGCATAGGAATAGATCATTTGGCACCTGCATTTCCATTTAACTGTCAGAAAGATAAACTCAGAAAAATAACTTCCCTTATTTTCTATCCTGTAAAATTCATATTTTAGTTCACTTTAAAATTAATGTAACATTAGTCCCTCTTAATCAGATTCAACTATTTTGTTTGGGAGTAAGTGATGTTTTCCACACCAGAATGCAAGGGGAAAATAAAATATTTTGATTGACTGCCTGTGTAATCCCTTGGCCCAGGATCATCCCTTAAGCCTTTCAAAGAAATATACTGAGAAGTATGGTATGTACAAAACAGAAAAGGAGCAAAAGAAAGAGAACAATTAATCCTAGATAACAAAACAATGTTCTTAAAACCATGAATACCTTATTAGATTCCATTAAAATAACAAGTTTTTAAACATTAGTTCAAACTAATTGTTGCCTTTTTCCTATTTAAACTTTTATAACATTAGTCAGTATTAGTCACAAAGAGACTAGCATTCAGAAGAAAAATGATGTAACTTACTGTAGAGTTTGAATACAAGTTTCTGTATTGAACCTGGCAAGTTAAATCTTTTGAAGGGACAATCTTCTCAGGCATTTTCCAGGTTACTGTAAGTAACTGCTTTATACCGCTGATTGTTTTAACTAAAAGTATTTCAGGAGGGTCAAATTTCTCTAGAATGCAGAAAAAAAAACATCAAGAGGAGAAAATGCCTCTATAAAAGTTTAGAATTTCTCTGGCTATGTGTGTTCCAAGAAGTTTAATCAATATCCCAGTAACACATGTCCTATCAGAGTATTCATGTGACAGTCTGTTTCACAGACATAACTCTAAGTTTGGGAAGTTGTCTTTAGGAGAAATTGCACATATAACTGATTTAATTAAATGGGACTTTGAACTACCTGGTCTAGCAGAAGGTGTCCCTAGCCAGTCAAGCTTTTCTATGATTTTGCTCACAAACCTGTTCTCAAACACATGTGCAGATTTCTTTCATCTGTATCAGCACTGAAAAATACTACTCAGAGATAACAGCAGGGAAAATAAATAAAGCAGGGCTGGGATGCGAAAGACAAGTCTGAACTGCAGAGGAAGGAAGAATTCAGCTGAAAAGGATTTGAGGGGGAGAGAAGTGTGAAGGACAAAGTGGGGAAAGAATAGATTAGCAATGAGGAAAGAGATGGCTGGCACAGAGAATGTGAAGAGTAATGAGGAGCCACAGCAGGTTGGAACATAGGAATAAAGGAGCATATGACTGGAAAGTTGACGAGTGTTGCAGCAATAAGGATTATTGATTATCTACACCAAAGTGAACAGAGGAAAACAGAGCACAGGGCAGAGGGAGAAGAGGTAGACAAAATATTTATTTTTGCTCCTGTGCGCAATTATTATTACTGCACACAGAACAGGTGGTTTTTAACATGCCTAACCAGAAAGTAGAATAGCAGATAATTAAAACTTAGTAATTTATAATGGATACATCAGACATTATCTTAAAAAAATATTGCTGCAGTTAGGTGTTTCATAGTCTGAATACAGCACCCTGTCATTTTTCATTAGCTCTCTGTAAAATCAAGAAACTTATGAAAATTACTGCTGTAACACACCACTTTGAAGAATTTTATACAGAAAGACCATCAATTAAATCTTTATTTAACTCTTCTTTAATTACCTATTTTTCCCATAGCTATAGGAACACACTTCGATAAGGCTTCACCCAAAACATTTTCAGCTTTCACCTGAAAACAAAAAGCACTACTATACGGAGTATCTGGATATAGAAATGAACATGACTCTGTTTTACTCTGGCAGGAGCTGACTATAGTATTTGGATTAGTCGCCCTAAAAAACATAAGAGAAAAATTACAGGAGTTAGAGATTTTTCTTAGAATAATTCAAACTCACTATTGGGTTATTATTTATAGATTTTTGAGGTTGCAAGACTTTTCTACCAGTGAACATCTTTAGATGATTTGTTTGTGCAATGAATACTCTTTCCTAATGGCACTGCTTATGCAAATGCATATAGTCTGCACAGACTCAGTTAGTTTTAACTGCAATTAGTAAAACCATTTTCCAGGAGCAGAGCAAAGAGTAAAAAGGCCCTAATAGGAAATCCACATGCTATGATTATTTTTTATTAAAATCTCAAAGAGAAGTGAAATCATATAACTCCATATAGGACTTCCTTTAAAAATACAGATAGGCTGATTGAGCTAGTAACACATGCCACATGGAGCTATGTAATAACAAGCTTTTATTCATTTTTTAAATACAGAAAAAAGCTAAAATCCACCACTGCCGAACTATCCCAAGGCAACAGAAATTTGACAGAAAGAACATACTGACAATATGTTGTCTTTACAGCATTTACTTTCATAATAAATAGTGTAGAATGCAAAACTAACAAAGTATGTTTCATTTTACTGACCCACAGAGAAATTCTTCAACTAATGAAAACTCAGATAAGGGGCTTGTGCTAAATGTTCCATACGATGCAGTAAGCAAGTAGATAATTTTGTAACTCAAAATGCTTTTTGGGGCTGGTATTTCATCAACATTTTAAGCTAGTGTAAGCCTGTGCTGCTGCAAAAAGCAGCAGTCCAACCTTCTCTATCACGCAGAGCTGTTGGTTTCCACCCATGGCTCTCCACCTCTTGTACCAATGCTTTTGTAGTCATACGTTAAACTCAGCTGGGGAGTTATCTGGATCAAAATTAATGGTTAGATTTGACTGGAAATAGTTCTGCAGTCCAGTTCACTGTATGGTTAATGAAGAATTTGTGCGTGTAGAGGAAACATACTTTCAATAGCTTCTGATTTCACTAACTCAGCTAAGTTATAAGTTATATAAGCACCAGAAGAAGTAACAAAGTTCCACATAGAAAAAGTAGAAGCCTAAAATGTTAAACCTACAATGGAGATAAAACTAAAGAGGTTTTCCTACCCTACAGTTTCAACCTAATTAGTAACACTACTTCAAGGGAACAAGTGCATATCACTTCTGATATAAACATTTCTCTACTGAATATTGGGTTGGGCATGCTCAATTTCTTTATACAGCACAGTAAAAAGGTCGTTGTAACTTTTTTCAACAATTACCAACCCTGAATTAATTAATTTAATTTACATTAATGCCATGATGTTTCTGAATTCCATGATGTTTCCAGGTTGTCTTTAAACAGAAGTCAGGATGAGAGGGAAAGTAGGCTGGTTATCACACTCCAGCAACCCAGCTCCCAACGCCTCCTATACTTACAGTTTTCGGTAAAGAGTATAGTTTCTTGTAAAACTTGTTTTTCTTCCTGAATTCCAGGTACAGGTAAGGTTATCATCAAAGTAATAAATGCAGGAAATATTTCCCGGAGTGTCTGGAGGAACTGCAATGACAAAGGTTTAAGAAAAAAAACAACCCAGTGCAAATAAGTAATTTTAATGTACAGCTGATTTTGTTGGTCAAAAAGCAGATTATGGCAAACTTCACCCAGTGTATTGCATAGCACTTCATTTTATTATTCCTTACTGCCCTCAAAACTCTTCATAAGATCAAAATCAAAACCAGTCCGTCTTTCCCTGAGGAGACAGAGAGATTTTCTCCAGCTACTTCTTGAAAATACTTTACTAGGTGGCCTAAAGGCAGTAACCGATTAATTAGCTTGTATCAAACCACTATATACACTGTCCTGAACCTCTAAGTACACCCATACCCCACTTCCCACCTGCAAAACACCTGTAGCTCAATGGCAGTCCAGACAGTAAGAGAAAAACAAAGGAATAGTACAAACGTTCCAAAAAAAGAGGCATTCTTTGAAAGACAAAACTCCTCTTGATTCCCTCAGAGAACATCTAATCACATACAGAGTGCAGAAGACAAATTCCTGGGAAACAGATCTAGGTGACCTTGAAGAGATCACTAATTCTGGACTCTCTTTATCTCCTTATGCAAGACAGCATAAAGGAAACAATCTTCTACAATCTCTGTAGTCTGAAATCATCCACAAAAATGTAACACCCTCAAAGATTTCTTTGTTACAGCTAGGTTACTTCACTGGTTAGAAAAAACTGGAGTGGAAAGGAGGAAAACTGTGCCCCCATTGAAATAAGTTGGATGAAAAAGCCCTCTTTTCAAAATAGTACTTTTCTGTCCCATCTAACAGAACATTCAAAAGAACTTTCTGTTATTGACAAGTTTATGGCACAATGATCTTCCCAGACAAGCAATACTTTCTGCTGGATTTTATTCTACACATGTCTTTCTGCATTTATTGCTTCTTTATTAGAATGGGACCTCCAGGCATACATTTGTATAATCTGGACCTAATCTGTTCAATAAACTAGAGAATTCATATACATACTTCAACCTTCTGTGTAAGAGATTTATAACTAAAATTTCTTTGGAAGAGAGGACTAGAGAGAAAGTCCTCTCTGGAGAAAGCCAAATATGGCTAAGTTAGACAAAAGATATAACAAAGGGATATACCCAGCACCGTTGGAACTCAACAGAAAATTTCAACTGGCTAAAAGCTGGGATCAGAGAGGTTTTAGACCAGTGTCAGTAAGGAATGCCCGTACATTCATACTTTATTTCAGGGGGAAAAAAAATGAGATACTTGAATACAGGTGTTTTATGATGCTACAAGATAAAAAACCAAAAGTAGCTCCTTTAAAAGCAAAATTACTAGAGTAAAAATGTTAAAATCAATTTTTCTGTATTTCTACTTACAGCCAGATTTAACTTCTTTGTGAACCAGAAGCTGCTCCTTGTCCAAGTACTTCATGAAACATTTCAGATAAGCTGTTCTGTAGGTGAAATTAGGGATGGTTATACTAGATACAGTCTCATTCACAATGTTATAATTCTCTGGAGCAATCAATTCATCATTCAATTTCCAGATGATGTGGCTTGCATTTCTGTGAGGCATGTGGTGTTTTCCAAGAATACAAAATTGTTTCAGGGAGGATCCTCTTTTAATTTCAGCAGATGAAGGAAAAATGTCAGCATCTCTGATAGAGTTTTCATCTAAAAACAAAATCAAAGCATCACATAACCTAATTAATCTTAAAATACCAGTGGAAAAAACTGTAAGTTATTTTGTTGTCTAAAAATAATTTATTTTTTTTTGTCAAAAAGAATTCAAATAAAATGCTCAGTTAGTCACTCAAATCAGACACTGCTCTTTGAAAACTCAGTTCATATGAATTACTATATTAGAATACGTGTTACATTGGAGTGACATTTCTAAAACTTATAAAACATTCCTATATGTAAAATATATGCATACCATTTACATGTTATCATTACTAATTACAATATCAAAAATATATCAAACTAATAAGGTTAAAATTTACAACCAAGCTGCAATATATTTCAATATCTCATTAGTACCTGTACACCTCTTAGAATTTATATTGCCAGATAGAATGTAGGAATTGTAATTAAAACACATGTAAAAGAAAAACACGTAAGTGGGCTGAATGAATTAATTCAACACCAAAGTTAAACAGTGCAAAAATCACCCATTAAAGTCCTGCAAAGAGCTACCTCTTTTGTTTTGTTTTGTTTTGCTGTTACTTATTTCTTGAAGCCAAATTTCATAAATTTGTAATTATTAAATCATTAATAAGTTTAATAAATAAATCTGTACAGAAGGGGACATCAAGACTGCCATAAATTAATTTTTCTACATATAATTGTGATAAATAAATAATTGTGATTTGTGAAACAAATGGGTGATTACATCAAAATAAAACAAACGGATTGTAAAACTTAATTACACCCCCATAAAGAAATAAAACAGGCCCTTACAAGGTCAAGGGGCTATAAAACCTCCTTACTATCCTAAGAATAAAATATGGTAGAACTTTAAATCTTTTAGGTGCCTGTTCATCCAAGAATGCATGAATTATGACCGGTTGTAGAGATAAAACCATTTAGCTTTAGCTGTAAGAAAACCCATATATTAAATGCTTAGCAAAAAACTGTAAAATGTATATGTATATGACATAATTAATATGCATGAAGTAGCTAAGATAAATGCCAAATGTACACTGTAGTAGGAGTGCAGATTTGGGAAATTTGTCCCCATTTCTGTCACCCAGCCAGCTGCCTGCTTTTACCATATAATAAACTCCTATTCAAAAACTTATAGAAATGAGACTTTGTTTATCACATACTGTACACTACTTAATCAACCTACTTTTAAAATACACTTTTCTGTTCTCAGAACTCTTCAAAATTTCATTTGGAGGACATCGCTTTTTGGAAAATTTTCTTATGGCAAGACAGGTGCTAATAATCAAGAAACATACCTGCTACAGAGCTGCAGAGCAGGACGAACATCCAAATCAAAGAGCTGAACATTTCCTTCTCAGTAACTACAGGCATAAAATGCTGTCATAAAAAAAAAATAAAAAAATACTTCAAGTAAAGATGTCCCTGTAATACTTTGTTATTATTTGTGTAAGAGTTAATAATGCTATTTAGCATTTCTCACTTGTATTCAAATTAATAATTGTTTTGTCTGAGTGTTACTTTCCTGCACAATGGAAGAAATTCCATGCAGTTCTCCTAAGATAAAAATCTTGGAAAGCATTTTATAATCTTTGAGGGTATGACAGCATGAAACAGGAGAAAAAACATTAAAAGGACACATGGGATAAAAAGAAAATGAGGGAAGAGTTTGCCCAGTGACACACTCCAAAAAAACAGCAGTAGCAAGATGTGTTCCAACAGGAAACAAATCCAGTACATGAAGAGAATCTATTACTACTTCAATTGCCTATGGTGTATGTTCTTAAAGCAGTAAAGACAGGTTACACTATCGATGCCAATAAAGAAAAGAACCTTCAGCAATTGTTCCAAGTATTCCACATCAGCATACCTACAGAAGCTTTTCTTATTGCCCTTGATGTTCCTGGCCAGATTTAATTCTATCAGGGCTTTAGCTTTCCTCACCTGATCCCTGGCCGCTCACTGTATTCCACCCAGGCTACCTGTCCTTGCTTCTACCCTCTGTAGACTTCCTTTTTGTGCTTCTGTTTGTCTAGGAGCTCCTTATTAATCCAAGCAGGCCTCACAGTGTTTCTGCCTGACCTCCTCTTTGCTGGGACGCATCGCTCCTGAGCTTGAAGAAAATTATCCTTGATTATCATCCAGTTCTCTTGGGCCCCTCTTCCCTCCACGGCTTTATCCCACGGTACTCTACCAAGCAGATTCCTGAAGAAGCCAAATTCTGCTGCCCTTAAGTCCAGGGTAATGAGCCTATTGTCCTGGCTGCCTTAAGGATTTTGAACTTGAGCATTTCACGGCCATGGCAGCCAAGACTGCCCTTGAGCTTCACCTTTCTACCAGTCCCTCCTTGTTGGTGAGAACAAAGTACAGCACAGCATCTCTCCTCATTGGCTTCTCTGTCACTTGGGTGCCCTACTGTGTTGTCCCTCCAAAAGATGTTGGGGTGGTTGAAGTTCCCCATGAGGACCAGGACATGTGAACACGAGGCTGTTCCTATCTGTCTGTAGAGGGCCTCATCCACATGGTCTTCCTGGTCAAGTGCCCTGTAGCAGACTCCCACTATAATGTTCCCTGTCCCTGCCCACTCTTAAATCCTGACCCGTAAGCTCTTGTTTGGCTCATCCATCCCCAGGAGAAGCTTCATGCTCTCCAGCTGATCATTGACACATAGGGCAACACTGCCTCCTCATCTCCCCTGCCTGTCCTTCCTAAAGAGCCTACATCCTTCCATTCCAATGCTCCAGTCATAGGAACCATCCCGCTACATCTCCACGACGTCTGAAGATCACAGCCCTGCAGGCATGTGGTACACACCTAACTCTTCTTGTTTATTCCCCATAATAAAATTTCTGCTTATATTCTGCACATTCTGGTTTGTTGTTTTCAAGGGTATATGAAACAGAAGAGGCTGCATTTCAGCCAAAATAGTTCAGCTGTTTTCAAGAAAAAAGACAACATTTCCTTATCATATTCCTTTAATAAGCTCCAGAAATCCCACACTATTTTAGCAAGGAATTGGAACTCAGAAGCATTGGGAAATCATGAAAACGTTTTTGAATTATCCTTGTGTCATCAAGGACAGTGCTGTGAAACACAGCACTAAAAGAACAAATCTGGCTGTGATGCCAATTTAGAAGCCTTTGAAAAATTCTGATTTCACACGCTCACCAGAAAGATTAAGCAAAGATCCCGTCCACACTCAGTGGGTGCTCCTCACCCTGTAACAACAGCTACTTTTCCCCCCTTCTTCTACTGCTCCTCTAGTGCCCTACTTCCCGCACAGTTAGTCACTTCCACATGCCAAAATAGCAGAAAACTAAGAAAAAAAAAAGAATTTGTGCTACTTTAGCAAATGTAAGCAACTTGCTTACACAGTTAGACAGTCATCTTAGCTGGTGAAACAGAGGAGAAGACTGGGGAGAGAGACCTCCATAACATTTTTTCCTAGCTGTGAGCTGTTAATTTGGTTCAGTCCTCCTGCTTCCACTTTCTCTAGTACCAGTTAGCAGCTGTTTATTTGACATGCCAGCTGCTAGTTACTACCCGCCAGAAATAAGGGTAGTGACTCCGCAGGTTACAATGCTGCTCAAACCTCATCTGCTTGTCATGATACTGATGCGTGACTAAAGAGCTCTTTGGCTGTTTACTGTTGCACAGGTAAAAGTGATGAAAAAACATGTCTGAGCGAAAGTCACATTATAAATTAAGAAGTATTTCACTTAAGGCACCTATGTAAGTTAAATGCAGATAACTAAACAAATGGTATGAACAGAACCATCTTCTTCAAATAATTCAAGAATTGATTCACCAAACCCAGATTTCTTGCAGGTAGATGCAATCTCAATAAAGGTCACATTATTTAAATAAAACTTGTGTAACATAGTTGATGAAACAATATTTTCTTTATACTTCAGATTTTCCATTTTCATTTTGGAATTTCAGTGTTTGAAAGTGCCATGGTGTAAAAATTTAAAGGAACCAGAGGGAAAAATTATCTAAAGTGACTTTTTGCCATACTGTATTTAAGACCATTTCTTATCACTCTTCTCCTCCATTTCAGGACAGGAAATCTTTTTCCATTCAGATCCAATTTTAAGATTGTTTTTAACTACATGCACAATTCTGCATGCAGTGTAGATGTTACACCAGGAATAAGGAACATGCCACATTGATAAATGGAAAGGCAGTATGTCATAGAAGCATAGATTGTTAAGGGGTTGGAATGGACCTTAAAGATCATCCAATCTCAGACTCCTCTGCCATGGACAGGGACTCCTCCCACTAGACAACACTGCTCAAGGCTTTATCCAACCTGGTTTTGAACATTGCAACAACTGAAGCATCCACAACCTCCCTGGGCAACCTGCTCCACTGTCTCAGCACCTGCACAGCAAAAAATTTCTTTTTCTAAACTTCCCCTCTTCCAGTTTGTACCCATTACTTCTTGTCCAATCAATACAGTTCCTGACAAAGAGTCACTCTCTGGATTTTCTGTACGCCCCCTTCAGAAACTGGAAGGTGCTCTGAGGTCTCCACATAACCTCTTCTCCAGGCTGAACAGGTCCAACTTTCTCAGCCTGTCTTCATAGGGGTGGTGCTCCTGTCCTCTTATCAACTTCATGGCCCTCCTCTGGACTTGTTCCAGCAGTTCCACATCCTTCTTATGTTGAGGACCCCAGAGCTGGATGCAGCACTCCAGGTGGGATCTCACAAGAGCAGAACAGAGGGACAGAATCACCTCCCTTGACCTGCTGGCCATGCTGCTTTTGATGCAGCCCAGGATTTCGTTGGCTTTCTGGGTTGTGAGCACACATTGCCAGCTCATGTTGAGTTCCACATCAACCATCACCCCCAAGTCCTTCTCCACAGGGCTGCTCTCAATCATTTCTCCCCCAGCCTGTAGGTGTGTCTAGGATTGCCCTGACCCAGGTGTAGGACCTTGCACTGTGCTTTGTAGAACTTCATGAGGTTTGCATTGAGACCTGTCAAGGTCCCTCTGGACGGCATCCCTTCCCTCCAGCATGTCAACCGCAACACAAAGCTGAGCACTAAGGGTGCGCTCAACCCCACTGTCTGTGTCATCAACAAAGATTTGAACACGCCCCAGTACTGGCCAGTGAGGGACAGCACTCGTCACTGGTCTCTGTGTGGACAATGAGCCACTGACCACAACTCTTTGTGTGCTGCCATCCGGCCAGTTCTTTATCCACCGAGGGGTCCATCCATCAAATCCGTGTCTCTCCAGTTTAGAGACAAGGATGTCATGTGGGACAGTGTCAAACGCTTTGCAGAAGTCCACGTAGGCAATGCTCTGTCCCATCCACAAATACTGTAGGCCCCATTATAGAAGGTCACCAAATTTGTCAGGCATGATTTCCCCTTTGTAAAACCATGCTGACTGTTACCAATCACCTCTTGGTTTTCCACAGCTTCCATAGCATAGTTTCCAGGAGAATCTGCTCAATGATCTTGCCTGGCACAGAGGTGAGACTGACTGGTCTGTAGTCCCCCAGGTCTTCCACTTTCCCCTTTTTAAAACTGGGCATTATATTTCCCTTTTTCCAGTCATCAGGGACTTCTCCTGACTGCCATGATTTTTCAATAATGATGGATAGTGGCTTAGCATCATCATCTGTCCCTTCCCTCAGGACCCATGGATGTTTCTCATTGGGTCCCACGGACTTGTGCACATTCAGGTTCCTCAGATGGTCTCAGACCCAATCCTCTTCTACAGTGGGTTTAGAGTTGTCATTCTGCCAGTCCCCGCATTTGCCTTTCTCAACTCGGGTGAAATGGCTGGAGCACTTGCTGCTGAATACTGAAGTATAGAAATGGCTGAGAACATCGTCTTTCTCTTTGTCCAAGGTATCCAGGTCTGCTGTTTCCTTCCAAAGAGGGCCCACATTATCCCTAGTCTTTCTCTCCTTGCAACGTGTCTATGGAATTGTGCTCAGTGCCCAATGCCGAGTACAGGGGGATGATCACTGCCCTGATCCTGCTGACCACACCATTGCTGATCCAAGCCAGGATGCCATTGGCCTTCTTGGACACCTGGGCACACTGCTGGCTCATTTTTAACTGCTGTCAACTAGCACACCCAAGTCCTTTTCCACCAGGCAGCTTTCCAGCCACTCTTCCCACAGCCTGTAGTGTTGTCTGGGATAGTTGTGACCCAAGGGCAGGACCCAGCACTTGGCCTTGTTGAACCTCATACCACTGGCCTCAGCCTACCAATCCAGCTTGTCCAGATCCCTCTGAAAAGCCCTTCTCCGCTCCCGCAGATCAACACGCACACGCAACTCAGTGTCATTCTCAAACAAACTGAGGGCAAACTTGATTCGCTTGTCAGGATCATCAATAAAGATTAATTAAACAGGACAGGCCCAAATCCTGAGCCCTGGGGAACACCACTAGCTACTGGCTGCCAAACAGATGTGGCACCATTCACCACCACTCTTTGTTCCAGTCATCTTTGAGAATTTTTAACATCTTTGCTGGAATGTGGCAGGGAATGCCTTCCTACCAAGTCTGACACTCTTCTATCAACTATGAAAGAGGAAAGAAGCAGAATAGACACTCCTTTTATTTAGTCTTCACTATCAATTGCATCTCTGCCATGTCAGCTGCCTTATGGAGAAACAGACCTTGTCCTATATGTGAGTAGCAAATGCTGAATGCCAGAAGCCCAAGCCTCCATTCTGCCCCCACTGGGCCACCTCACTGTGATGCTCTGCACAGATGCAACTGGAAAAGCAATCACCAACAGTTTTGAGAACTGCAAGATTCAAATTAATCAGCATTTACACAAATCCCATAGGGAAAGAGAACATTTCAGGCAAATGATCCAAATATGAACTTCAGTGTCCTTTTTTGACAACAAGGTGCATCATCTTCAAGATTTGGTTAGGATTACACCAAGGGTGAGTACCAGTGAGCCTCAGAAGAGGAAAACGGAGGTTTTTCCACACAGGTCAGAGAATGACACAGAAACATACTGGAGGAAGCAGTAAATTTGAGGAGTTTCCCAACTCTCTAATCCCTATAAATCATGCACTGACAAGCCCACCCATGGGGAAAATGACACTATAGTGAAAGATCCTGAGCATGCTGTTTCACAATCCACAGTCCTTAACTGAACTAAAAATAGTCAGCTGAACCACAGACCAGGATGAATATGATTTATAATATTAACATTGAAATAGAACTTTATTGAAACAGATGTTAGGTGCATTTTATTTTGGAAAATAAACCTATTAAATTTGAAATTATGTCGGCCTATCTGAAAATACAATGGTATCATAATCTACTAACACCACTTAAATGAAATTAATTCAAACAATAAATGAAATAAATTCAGACAGTATATATTTGTTGAGAAAACTTCTAAGCTTACAGATAGGTCTGTAGGAGCCACATGAAGCAGAGGCCCTTGAAATCCCACACTAACTTTTGACCAGAGAAACGTGTTCTAAAAACAAAAACAACAAAAAAAAATCAAGTTCAACAACTTGCTAATAAAAGCTGCAAATCAACTGGAAACTGAAAAAGCAGGAAAGCTATTTTCCTCTGTCAGTCTCTAAATAGAAAAAATAAGCATAAAAGGATAAGATACTTTTGTTCTAAAACTCTGAAAGACATAGTGACCAGGAAAGGTCAATTCTGCTAATAACTGCTGATAATAGTTATTTTGCTTAGTATACCCTAGAGTTACAGATGCAAACCATGTTTTGATAAACCCTTTGTTTTCTTATAAAACAATATGTAACAGGATATTGAATATTAACACATTTTAATATAAAATGTTGTTATATTGAAATTTAAATATAATTAACTACATGTAGCTTGATACTAATACAGAAAAATAATTAATCCATATTTAGTAAACAGGATATAATCCATTATTCTCTGAACAACCATAACAAATAAGCCTCTAAATATATCTTAAGGTATAAAATGCTCAGCTAGACAAAAAAAGCTGCAAAATAGATATTTCTTTACTAATGAATATATTGTACCTTATAAGAAAAACGTGATTTTTAGGGAGAAAGTTTAAAGCTACAAACACACAAAACTAGATTTATTTTCTTTATCTTTACATATGGGTCATTTATTTTAACTACATGATTGTATCTGACTTGATAATGCTCACTGAAAGAAAGGCCAGGCCATCACTATCATTAGAAATAAATGTCGGTGATATAGAAGAATGTAGCTTTCATAGCAGCACTGTCATTCCCTGTTCTTTTTTCACCGAGCAAATAAAAACAGACAAGTTACGGTTTACACAGGCTTCATGTACAGGTCTGGTCTTGAAGTCTTCTTCTTAGGCTCAGTGTCTGAGTTACTATGAAGTGTATTTGGGCTACAGGAGTCTACTTTGAGAGATGATTTTGCATCAGACATTTTCAGTTAGTAAGACATTATTAGACAGGATGGTTGCCCTCATGCCCCTTCATGTTGGTGGAGAACAAGCTGGCTCTGCTGTGGAAAGCAACTAGGTGAGCAAAATGGATGGGCAGGGGAGGAGGATCAAAAAAAAAATCAGAAGCGAGATTTTCTGTACAGCTCCAGAGTGTTATTTCACCTTCACCAGTCTTGCCTCTTAACTTAAGACTGGAACTAGATGTTCTGGAATAAAGCACTCATCTACTTAAATAACATTAACAATAACATTAATATTTTCTTTTGCAAGAAAGAAAATAAAAACTTTCCTGGACTGTTCAGGGAATCAGTTACAGCCCCAAAATGAAGGATATAATTATAATCCCTGTCCTCCTGCAGTGCTGTGTTAGAAGAACACAAAGGACAGTGCAGGTAATTCTGTGCTCCCACAGACACAAGAAGGAAAGGGAACAAAAGGAGCACAAAACTTCACTTTTATACTTTCTTATCACTCAAAAAGAGATGACCATGACCCTGAAGCTTACTCTTACACATAATACATCACTGGTTTCCACTTCCTTTGATTATCTTTTAATATTCTCTTTTGAAGGTTCTCAAGTATTTAATATCCTTCCTCAAGTGTGGGCACACTATCTGAATAGTCAGAGAAAAACTTACAGAGGTGAGCTACAATCTCTACTGCATTAATTCAGTGAATGTATAAATGAACAGCTAACCTTCACATATTCCTTACCACCTTTCACCGCTGTATTTAAACACCTCACGTATGTTCTCAAAGGAACACAGAATCACTACAAGGTACATACTTGCTATTCCTGTTTACTGTACATTGAAGCAGAACATTAGCCCTTTTCTTTTCCCTAAGAGAGGACAGACACAGTTATCTAAAATGGTCTTTACATTACTACTTTCTAAGACTTTTTTTGACCTGTTGAGTATCCTCTCTATTCCTTGATCCCAAATATGTTTATCTTGCTGTTGACCTGCATAAGACAATTATCACATTACCCTGCTGCTTCAGATCAACTCACGAAAGTTCTCTATCTTGCTTTTCTCTTGTTTACTACTTATGCTATAAACTTTACTAGCAATACTTTTGTATCCCTGTCAAAACTGCCAGCCAAAGCACAGCATGGCAGTGTGAAATCAGGCTCCAGAGGACCTACTGAACACAGCCACATTTTGACATCTCCCCTAGTATGGCATTTTTTAATTGAAAATGTTCCCTATAAGCACAAAATAATGCAAAAATTCAGCAGGTTTACTCAATTATTATAGAAAAATCAAGATCTTTAATGTTCAATACCGCAACTTCTATGATATAAATCTAAAACTTCTTTCGCCCTGTTTTCATCCCTTTTGAGACCTGTTCTGTTACTGATAAGCCTCTATCTGACAGAAAAATCTGAACTGACCATTCTGTTCTTCTACCCAACACATGAATCTTCCTTCAAGTATGAAAACATTCTCTTACCCAATTAGTGTTTTAATTCACAGGCAGAGTCTAAAAGTTGGATTTCAACTATTTTAGACAATCATAGAATCATTTTACATGTATACATCTTCTAAATACCTCCAGGGACAGTACCTCCACCGCTCCCCAAGGGCAGCCTGTTTCAATGCTTGACAACACCTCCCCTGGTATAATTTGAGGCAATTTCTTCTTGTCCTATTACTTGTTAACTGAGAGAAGAGACTAATCCTCAGCTGGCTACAATCTCGTTTCAGGTACTTGTAGAGAGGGATAAAGTCCCCCCCAAACCTCCTTTTCTCCAGGCTAAAGACCTTCAGCTCCCTCAGATGCTTCTCATCAGATTTGTGCTCCAGACCGTCCACCTCCGAAAGACAAATCACACAGTCCATTACAGGAGAGAAGCTAAGCAACACTTTTCCACTTTGAGCATGAGTATGTGAGGATAATACTCATGATGGACACAAACAGAAACACAACATGAAAATATTTTTTATCAGGAGGCAGAAACTGCAAGCATTGAAGAAACGTGGGGCCAGTGCATTAAAATCTGATACATTACTTCAAGAAAATTTGAGTTAATAGAAACAATTTAAGCAGAGAGCAGTTAGGAAAGAGATTTTACTGCCTTTATGATTGCATATGTTGCAAACATTTTGAGAACTGACTCAACCATTAGACACACAAAGAAAACAACTGCCAAGCATATGTATCACATTCTTTTCAAAAATGAGGTGAATGCAATGAGCTAAATGGGGAATTTCAATTCTGACTGTCTCATGGACTTGAAAGAAAGAAACTGAAAGGACTTGGCCAGTTTTTAGCCTGGATAGATGCAAAAGCACGCCCTGCCCCAAGTCTGGATTGAACAGCTGGAGAGACAGGAATGCAAGCACACATCACCACTGGTAGAGAACTAAGCAAGTAACAGTCCAGGGAAGAGTTTCACACTCTCCAACACTTCGTGTTAACAAAAACGAGCAGACAGACCTCTGCTGAAAACATCCACTCACCTCGGCTGCAGAATGGACATTTGGTTTAGCAGGGGCCTCTGCCTCCCCGCGACCGCGAAAGGGCGTACAAAATAGGAAGTTGCCCAGCTCAGCCCAAGTAAGGCTTTTTCCTGTAATTCTGAAGGCCAGAAACCCCCGCCCTCTCCGCCGGGACTCGCGGGGAGCGGTGCCAGACTCCGCACGGCGCTGGGCTCCGCCGTCCGCGGGGTCTGCGGCGGGGGGATTCTCTGCCTTCCCCGGCGGCCGGAGGCCCCCGACAGGCACCAGCCGCGCTGAGCCACCGCTGCGGGGACCCGCACGGACCGAGGGACACCGCCTCCGCCGCTCCCCGCCCCGCCGGACCCGCTTCGCAGCCTCCGCCCATCCCGCGGACACCCCACACCACCCCATCTCCGCGGGGACACGGCCCCGCCGTCCCACAAGTTTAGGGAGTGCCCGCACAAACCTCGCAGCCCTCTCGAAGGGCACTGAGCAGCCGGCTGTGCGGTGATGTGCGCAGCATTTTGGTGCCGATGAATCAATTCAGCTGCTCGTTCAAATAGCACAAACATGCACACTCCGGGACAAGCGTATCGAGTAACAGCCACCAACTAAGAGTAGTACGAGTAGGTACCTTATGCATCATTTAGGGCATCAGCACAGTGAGAGGAAGAACTCAAGTGATGGTTCCTTTTAAAGCTAACAAATGTATTCCGGTTAATGACTTGCAAGAAGACTGCAGCCATCAGCAACACAAAAAGGAATAGCAGGATTGAAAATCAGAAGGAACCTTGCAATTAAAATAGATACTGTGAAATCAGTAAATGGAAAGCTGAAGTCCATAGTAATGTGCCTCCTATTAAGCAGACAGTCCTTGCTACACAGACACTCTCCAAGAACAGCTATTGTGTTTTAATAACTCAGTCAATATAGACGTCATCAAGAGGTCTTGGCCCCAATTCAGGAGATCCATCACAGACAACAAATGTGTTTGTCCTACACTAGTGTCACTAAGCAAGAGAAGCTGTAGATTGACTCATTCTGACTTCCATCACTTGTTCGGATCAGGTTTGTTTAGCCTTCTTTCCCCTACAGCAGCTATTTTAACACACAAGCTCAACACCCATTCCAACTTTTGAAGCATCCACTAGCCTTCACTCTCTTTACCTAATCATCAGATTCAGCCCTTTGATTCCCTTCTTATGTTTGAATGATGTTGCCATCTCCCCATCATCCATAACCTCACTGTAAGGCTACACTGTAAACTGTTTTAATGTTTCTAAATTCCCTTTGACATTTAGAAGTATTGTAATACATTAGCACGTATAGTGATATTTTCAAAACTTCTATTTATTTTACTAGTAGGTAATAGATAAAACAGAAATGTGATTCAACAGAAACAGACCCAAACTGTAACCTAAATGCTCCTTGACACATCAGATATTTTTTTCTACTGAGTATGAAAGAAAGGCCAGGACTAGATCCTTAATTATTTTTAATTGAATGGAAATTAAATGTTAAACTTGGTCTGATTAGTTGCCAGTGCTCACAGATTAATACATTGTTTTCATTCACTCACTGAAAGATGGCTGCTCAGTCTTT